TAGTATTTTGCCTTTGGTGCTGTTAAATCACTGAAATCGTGTGACTGTGAATTTACTGCTTGCGTTAAGTTTTATTATCTACAGCCTGTATGCTGCTTTCTAATTACAAATCTGATACAATAAAAGTGCGATCTCTGCTTATTCTCTTCTGTTTCCTTTATTCTCCACCCTGCCCTCCCCGCACACACCTTTCTGCCCTGCAGCGATCGATGGAACAGACTCACTCTCCTGCAAAGAAAATCGACGTGCAGCCCAGGTACCGCTCCGGTGTGTGTTCTCAACGCCCAGAAACACATGTATATATGAGAAGCTGCAATAAGGCACCGACTTTAACAGCGGTGGGAACCTGTTGGGCTGCAGGGAGCATTGGCAACAGATTTAACTCCATACCAGTGCCTGGGTACAATAGGGAGCATTCAGATATTAGGATCCTATGACAGAAAAGCGTTGGGCTGGGTCTAGTTGACAGGTTGCCAATTTAAACTATTTTCCTGGAGAGTGAAGGCATCTGAAGGCAGTTTCGCAGTTACCAGCATCTGGTTCTGCAAAAGTCTGTTGGAGGAGGCGGTTGCGTGTGTGAATGCTGCGCTCTAGTGGTTTGCACAGCTTGGAGGAAAGGTCCATGCCTTGTGACTTTGGAAGACGTGGCCATGTCTTGGTGAGGCTGGAGGAAATGTCCACACTTTTGTGAGGTCGGAGGAGATGTCCATCCTTTGGTGAGGCTGGGGGAAATGGCCATTCCTTGGCAAGACTGGGGGAAATCTCGGTGCTTTGGTGAGGCTGTAGGAAATGTTGATGTCTTGGTGAGCCTGGAGGACATGACTGTGCCCTGGTGAGGCTGGAGGAAATGTCCATGACTTGATGAGGTTGGAGCCACGTTTAGCTTTAGGGCCCCCAACACAAGAAGGACATGAACCTGTTGGAGCAAGTCCAGAGGAGGCCACGAAGATGATCCGAGGGCTGGAGCACCTCTCCTATGAAGACAGGCTTGGAGAGTTGGGGTTGTTCAGCCTGGAGAAGAGAAGGCTCTGGGGAGTCCTTAGAGCAGTCTGCCAGTACCTAAAGGGGCCGACAAGAAAGCTGGGCAGGGACTTTGTACAAGGGCAGGGAGTGACAGGAGAAGGGGCAAAGGCCTTAAGCTGAAAGAGGGCACATTTAGATTAGATATAAGGAAGAAATTTTTCACAATGAGGGTGGTGAGGCAGTGGCAGAGGTTGCCCAGAGAAGCTGTGGCTGCCCCATCCCTGGAAGTGTTCAAGGCCAGGTTGGATGGGGCTGTGAGCAACCTGGTCTGGTGGAAGGTGTCCCTGCCCATGGCAGGGGGGTTGGAACTGGGTGATCTTTAAGGTCCCTTCCAACCAAACCATTCTATGATTCTGTGATGACATGGCCATGTCTTGGAGAGACTGGAGGAAATGATGGCCATCCCAGCCCCATGCAGGTACTTCTCCAAGGCAGATCTATTTCTTCAAGGGAAGACTCTCTTCCTCGGCTTTGCTGTTGTAGCCTAACACATGCAGTGTCCTTCATTATGCACTAGACTTAAAGCTTAACAACTCCTCACTGCAACTCGCTCCTGCTTTACAGCTCTTCGCCTAGTTTATTGTTTTTTTTTGTTACCGTTACTGGAGCAAGGGTGATGTTACATCACTTGAGGTTTCAACCCAATATCCCAGCTCACATCTAGCCAATTTACCTTGTTTCTTCTATCTTCTTTTTTGACTGGCTTGTTCTTCTGCCAGATTTCTATATTTGGAGAGGGCAGGGAGCTTTGCATTCCTCGTGCATTGGCTCATGCTCCAAAATTGCTGCGCTGTGACGATGCTCTTTTGCATTCCTGACTTATTAAAGGGAAGGTGGTGGATTTCCTAATGTCTCACCTGGTATCTCCTCCAGGATGTTTTTCAGCTTCCCTCTTTGTACTTCTCAGTGCCACAGCCCTATTTTAATTTCTTTTTCCCGCCTTCATCTCGTGCTGTTTTCCAGGTTGACTCAGGCAATTTAAAAAAGCACAGCAGATTTTCTTAGCTGACAGCCACCGCAGGGCAGCGCTGGCTTGTGGGGAGAAGATGGATACTACCAGGATATGCAGAGATGATGACAACAGAAGCACACATTTTTGACAGGCATTGACATGTGAAAGTGAAACACTCATTAAATTGTTACATAGTGAAAGTCTCCAAAGTTGCTATGTTGCCAAAGTTAAAATGGAGCCTAATTGGGTTTCTGGAGTGAGTTCTTTGGTTCTGTGGGTTTGGAGTGTACTGATGAAGAGGGTTTAGATACATAGTCTTACCGTCATTGCTGGGTATTAACACGAAAGACAAGTCGTCGGTGTAATCAAATTAAAGTTCACATGGGCTTTCAGTAAGTTAGGTGGGTACACATGGGGTTTCAGTCAAGCACAGAATGAAATAAGGACATGTTTGAAGGTGGAGGCAGTGCCTGCATCCAGACTAGACTAAAAATAATCTGAACGCGAACTGCTCACTTTGGTTAACAGGGAGGATCACTTCTACGATCTTTGGCGCTAAAAAGCAACGAAGAGTTATGGCTTCGGATCAAAGAACAATTTCTGCAGGAGAGATGCCACTACAAAGCCACGTTTCTTGTGGTTCAGGCGAAGATGAACACACTCAGCGCTGACCAGCAAGGGTCAGGATTTGTTCTTGCTGGAGAAACCTGCGGTAAACGGAGCATTTCATCCTCTGTGATTCTTGCCAGGTGTGGAGCACAGTTGCTCAAAAGTTCCTAAAGTTTATTATTCAATCTGATTAGAAAATTATTTATGGAGCTTTTTCTTTGCCTGAAAAACCACCTGGGCAGACCCATTTCTCTCAGTCAGGAGAAGTCACGGTTTTTAATAAACATACTCCAGAACGGATCCCCTTGGGGTGGGTTTCATCTCAGCCAGTGCGAGATGTCTGTGGGGCTGAGCACTCCTCTGCGCTGCTCCCCCTCAGCTCTCCAAAACAGAAAGAAATTGTCACTTTTGGGGCGTATTTCATGTGACAAGGTACACATGAAAGCATTGATTAGCTCTTCAGCCACTTCAAAAAATTAATCTCGCAGTTTTCTAACTAGTTTCTTTAATGTGGGCACCGCGTGCGATAAGAAGTTGACTCACTGAGAAAGTCACCTGCAGGGCTGGAGGAAGTTTATCTGCTCCTGGTGGGTTTTGTGGCCTCTCGTGCTGCCGGTCACAGCCTTGACAGCTGAGCCTGTTGTGCAAGGGCTGTAATCCAACATGACTGTAGCTCATCTTTTCCGCTTATCGGAGAGTCACTGGACGGTGTATTCCCACTGCTCTGATAACAGGTAATTGCGTTGGGATGACGGGAGCATCAGGACACCAACAGGTGCTTTCCAGAGCCGTGTGAGCTCAAAACGAAGTTCTTCCACCCAAGGAAGTTGATCTGGGCTTTACTGGGAGCTCCTGTTTTTCCCCAGAGGAGGGGATGCCCTCTGTCCAGCCCGCACGCACAACTGACCCTGGTAGACGAGAAGCACTGCCAGCTCTGACCAGGGACTAAAGTGAGAGAAGGACACGGAGCCATCACGGCAGCTCTCACGGCACAAAGCCAATGCCGTGTGCGTGCGGAAAGAGGCTGAGGGATGGGATGGCCTCATTTCTGGGGGACCACCAGGGCATTTCCAGGGACTCGCTCCGGTGAGACCTCTGGAAAGCCATTTCTGGGCGTTATTGGGTGCACTTCTGCCTTGTAAAACCCCCGAGGCAGGGGATGCCACTGCTGCTGCCTCTCCAAATACCATTCAGTCTTACCATGCCAGGGAGGATTATACAAAAGGTAATTACTCTTACTACGGGGAGCTGACATTCAACTACTCATCCTCAGGGATGAGTACACTGATGCTAGTCACTACAAGTGTTGCACACAGGACAGCTTTTGCATAGCAGCTAATAGGATATGTCGTGGGTACCTCAGACCTTCAAGGCACGTTTAGTAGCTATATAAAAGCTCCCCTTCTATTAGGGCTCACTGGTCACATCACAAAGCTGTTCTCACCAGGGAGCTGGGTAAGTCTGGTTTGTGCTGAGCCTCTGTAGCTGCTGAAATGCAGATTTATTTCTGCTTTTTTTTGACACATGAAAAATGTTGTTTGGGAAAAGTTTTTAAAACTAGTTGGTTTGAATTGCTGTGTTGGAGTGGGAGTGCGCTCTCAAGTGTCTGCAGCTGGGCATCTGAGTCCAAGAGACACTCCTGGAAGATGTGAGGAAAGGTTGTTAGCAGTAATTGGGGTGCTGCTATTGTTGTTTGCTTTTGGAGGTGCCTGACAACGGTCAGAGCAGCTTTGGTGTATCAGGGAGCATAATGCTAGAAGAGCTGTAAGCAGGTTTGTGTTCAGTTGCGGTATCGCTACCCTTTAATTGTCTTTGGTTCCCTAATGAGGATGAACTTTGCGCTGTTGGGACTGAGCTGTGAACCTCTGCCTGCCCGCGGTGTGATGGGGTCACCAAGCAGCGGTGCCTTGGGTGCTCTTTGCCTGTCCTGCTACGGCAGATGTGGCCAGAGGTTGAGAGCTCGTTTTTGGGCTGGGCCTTTTTCTCAATGTATCGACAAGAGATCAGAGGCAGTCACCAACCTAAAGCAGGAGAAAATCGGATTAATGATTGAAAGACAGCTCTGAGATCAGCCGTTCCTCTGCTGACCTCCAAGATCTGTTCTCTGCCGTGGGGGTCCAGGTGATGGGAAGGGAGTTGCGGTCTGTGGAGATGTTTAGTGCTAGCTGTCTCTGAATTTCCCCTCTGTTTTGACTTAGTGCTGTGTTTTAGAGTTAAAAATGATGGGTTGGGTCCTCAGCTACTGTCGGTGTGGTTTTGAGACTAGGGCACAGGTGGGACGTGTCTCCGGCACCCTGTGAAGGGAGCCAGTCCAGCGGCGCAGGCGGTGGCAGGACTGTGAGAAACTCAGTGGGTGCGGGTCCTAAAGGCTCTGCTCTCTCACGTGTCCTTCCAGTCCTGCCAAAGCCTCACCGAGATGTCGTGCTACCTACATCAGTGCCTCCCACCAGTCTACCAGGAACCCATCCCCATCAAGTGCCCGCCGATGCATACTGCCAGACCTCCACCGGTGCCTACCTGGCACTCGACGCTGTGCACCCCACAGTATGTGACCCCTCGCATCCCCCGGCAGCGGATCATGTCCTCCAGCTTCTCCCAACAGCAGTGTGTGACCCAGTGTGTGCCGCGGCAGCAGTGTGCAACCAAGGGTGTGCCGCAGCAGCAGCGTGTGACCCAGCGCATCCTACAGCAGCCGTGTGTGACTCGGTGTGTGACAACCTGCGTGCCGCAGCAGCGGTGTGCGACCGAGGATGTGTTGCAGCAGCCTTGTGTGACCAAGTGTGTGCCGCAGCAGCAGTGTGCGACCAAGAGCGTGTCGCAACAGTGTGCAACCAAGCGTGTGACCGCCTATGCCCCCCAGCAGCAGTGTGCAACCAGGTGCAAGACCACGTGTGTGCCACAGCAGCCGTACCTGACCAAGGGCATCCCACAGCAGCAGTGTGCGACCAAGTGCATCCCCCAGCAGTGTGTGACCACGTACGCCCCGCAGCAGCAGCAGTGTGCAACCAGGTGTGTCACCACGTGTGTTCCACAGCAGCGTGCGACCAAGTGTGTCTCGCATCAGTTTGTGACCTCTTGTGCCCCACAGCAGTGTGCCGCCATGTACGTCCCGCAGCAACGTGTGACCAGGTGTGTGACCAAGTGTGTCCCGCAGCAGTGTGCCACTGAGTGTGCTGCCATTTGTGTCCCACAGCAGTGTGCCACCAAGGGTGTCCCACAGCAGTGTGAGACAGCTTGTGTCCCACAGCCATGTGCCACCAAGTGTGCCCCACAGCAGTGTGCCACCAAGGGTGTCCCACAGCAGTGTGTGACCAAGGGTGTCCCACAGCAGCAAAGTGCCACCAAGTGTGTCCCACAGCCGTGTGCCACCAAGTGTGTCCCACAGCAGCAGTGTGTGACCAAGGGTGTCCCACAGCAGCAGTGTGCCACCAAGTGTGCCCCACAGCAGCAGTGTGCCACCAAGTGTGTCCCACAGCAGTGTGTGACCAAGTGTGCCCCACAGCAGTGTGCGACCAAGTGTGCCCCACAGCAGCAGTGTGCCACCAAGTGTGTCCCACAGCAGTGTGTGACCAAGTATGCCCCACAGCAGTGTGCCACCAAGTGTGTCCCACAGCAGTGTGCCACCAAGTGTGTCCCACAGCAGAGTGTGACCCAATGCGTCCCGCAGCAATGCCAGTCAGGTGGAGTAAAAATTTCGAGCCACTCTAAAAAGTACTGCTCTGCATCCAAATGGCCCTGGTAAAAAGAAGCGGGGGAAAGGAAGGTCCATGGAAAAAGAAGGAGGTACAGCTTTGGGGCAGGGGTTATTTATCTCCTTGTACCACCTGCCAACTAGTTCCTATTGCTTAAGTCTGCTTTATCTCTGTTTTCCAATACTTCCCCCATAGCTCAGCTCTATTTTGGGCCAGGGTGTGATATTATTTCCATAGCTGCACTCGAGGTGCCTGTGGTTTGTTCCTTTATCTGCTACAAGGCATAGTTTAGTGGGATGCTATTAAGTTCTCACCTAATTGAAAAGAATAGTAATTAAAAAAAAAAAAAACAAACAAAAAAACACCAAAACCAAAACAAAAAACAAACAAACAAAAAAACACACAAAAAAAGGAAATAGAAATGTCTAAGGAGTCCAGCTCACGACAGCATCAAGAGGACTGGCAGTGCGGCCGGGGGAGGGCTGGCCCGTGCCCGGCTCTGGGTTTAGTCCTGGCCTTGGGAGACAAAGTTCAGGTTAACTTGGATTCCACAAAGCTGTGAGTTCTCCAAACCAGCTGTTTTCACTCGCAGATTTGGAAGCCAGAATTAAATTTGCTAAGCAAACGGTATACGAATCTTACTCCAATGGCCTTCGTTTCGGAAGGTGACCAGAAATCCCTGTTGCTTTAAAACACTGACACGGCACCGACTTCAGGAAAGTCCCCAAAGAAGACAGGATTTCTGGCTCAGTGAAGTCGGTCCTTGCTGAAATTTCATACATGAAAGTTTTTATTCACTTGGTTGCTTTAATTAATATGGAAAGCACAACTTGAAACAAAAGAAATTCTTCGAAACAATATTGAAAGTTGTAGCACGACTATTTTATAAACGTTTGAGCTATAAAAGCAATTAACTATATTCTTTATGCTGCCTGAAGATGTGTACTCTATACTGTATTGAAAACAAACCATATATATATATGTATGCTTATACATATATATACTTAAATAAATATAGTCTGACCTCAGATCAAATATCTTGTCTTTTTGCCCTCTGGTGATTCTTCTTTATTAAATAGAGTGAACTCCTGTCTGAAAAATACAAAAGTCCTGTCATATGCCCTATCATTAGGAAAATGAGTAGTAGCTCACACTAAGTAGATCATGTGTATTTGGAGGGCAAAACCAAGCGTTGCAAGACGAAGAGGAGGGTGTGACCGGGGCTGGGACGCTGCCCCACACCCTGCCCTCCTCCACCCTTGCTGGGTGACCTTGGGGTGCCACCATGGGCTGCCCTCTGAAGGCAAGAAGGTGTCCAAGACCTGAGCATCTAACACCGTCGAGGTGGCATCTGGCTGCTTCCCCAGGGTGCTCGGTGGGTCATGGGGGAGCAGACCCTTTTGACATCTTCTCCCGAATGTCCAGGGATGATGCTTTGGCCTAGAGAGGCACCGTGCAAGAACTGCAGTGACTGTGGTCCTCCTTCCAACTTGTAGAGCCAAGGGATGCTCTCATAACCCAGTGTTTCATGTTCCCTTTAAAACCAAGAAATGAGCAGTGGTGTGACCTTCTGAGGAGCTGTCATATCATTGTGGCTTTCCCATAGGAGCCAGAGCCCAGGGGATCATTAGGAAAATCTTCCTGGGTGTTGGGTGGCCGGGTGGCACAGGACCTCATCTCACAGGGTGAAGCGGCCACTGGAGCATGGGGTTTGTTTTGGAAGTGGTTGCGATGGAGCCTGGTTCTGACCCTGTCTCTGACTCACACCGTGCCACCAAGGGACCGCAGTGCAATGTGCCTCAGTTTCCCTTGTGCTTAATTGGGAATAATAATAGCCCCCGCAGTGATGTCCCATGTGCCACTGTGCGTCTTTCTGAGTTGAAAGGACTTTACAGATGCTAATTAAGAACATTTGGATGACAGGGCACGATGTTATCATCGGGTTAATATTTTGCTACCTGAACTAGAAACACTAAACTGAATATTAGCATTACTTGACGGCTACTTGATCTGAAGCTTGCCCAGGATCTGGATTTATGGAGCTTATAAAATTGTATTAATCTGCTTACCTGCTCTCCGACGCCAGTTTGCTTCCTAAAACCCCGGGTCAGGTTGTTTAACATTAAAAAGGGCGTTGTAGTTCATGGGAGTGAAATGCAATGAAAATTAGAGCAATCCGGGTTGGATTCAGTGCTTTTGTCTTCAGCTGTGGAAGAGAAGATAAGCCTGGAGAAAGCATTTTTATCTTCAGTATTTGTAGCTCTCGAAATTTTGGCATGAACAGGGTAAACATGCCCTTTGCCTGTATTTTTTTCTATGATACTGAGGGAGACTTTTTCATTGGAAAAGCAGAAATGTAAATAACAAAACTACCTTGAGGCTTCTGGATTTTCCAGTGAAAACAGAAATAGAAAACTTACTCAGTGGCTCATAAGCCAGAGATCAATATTCTGCTTCAAATCGTGGAATCATAGAATCATTTAGGTTAGAAAAGACCCTTAAGATCGTCAAGTCCAACCATAAATGTGACACTGCCAAGACCACCGATAAACCACGTCCCTAAGCACCACATCCACGTGTCTTTTAAATACCTCCAGGGACAGCAACCCAACAGCATCCCTGGTGTTTCATATCGGTGCGAAATGTTCCACCTACTCCCTTAAAAGTTAACTTATTTCACCTCTTTTTATTTCAATGTGTTGGACCTCACCTGAATTCCCAACATGCTGGAACCCAATTCATAGGCGTCAGACTTGCATTAAAGGAAAAAAAAATGCCAGGGCCTTCACTTATGCAGGCATGACTACCTAAAAATGCGTTCCTCCTGTTGGCACTTACGCTTGTGCCACTGTTAAATTTCCCTTGGGTTTATTTGTGGCGTAAACAGGGAACCAAGGGAGGGATGACTGGTGCAAAGACTGTGCAGCGGAGCAGGAAATGTGATTTCTGTTTTCAGGACACGATTCCGGTTTGATTCAGTCGTCTTTCCCTGGGCTGCCCCAGCGCTCCTGCTCAGCCCTTCTCCCCTTTGTCGTGTCGGAAAAGCATCACCTCTTTCAGCAGGTTATTCACTTCACGCAAGTCCCTTTTAGTAGCCGTCTTGCCCTTAGCCCAAGGCTTTCTCAGTCGCAATCATCCATCCCTTCCCTGGGTTCCTCGTATAAATGAAGGAAGTCTGCATGCCACAGTAATTATGGCCTGCAAAAAGTCGCCAAGAGTCCTTCCTGGACGGTGTTTTCAAAGGCACTGAAAGGACTTATGGATGCTGCTCCCAGGGAAATGAGGAGTCCCTTGAGCAGTCCCTCTGGTGACCTCAACTGCCATCTTTTTCTGGGTGGAAAGGTGCATTTTAAGTGGTCTGGATTTCCGATGGGCAGGCAGGGATGCTTTGGTACCCTACATGGGGATCCATAGCGTGAGGGCCATGAGCAGCCCCGGCACAGGGTGTCCTTGCCCTGCCGGGGTCTTCGCTAGTTCGGCACATTGAATCAGGAGATTCCCCTTCACGGAGCTCACAGGGAAACCAGATGTCCTGGCAGTGCCGGGTGGTGATGGCGGCCCTGCAGAGCGAGGACAG